CCCCAAAACCCCAAACCCCAAAACCCCAAAACCCCAAAACCCCAAATGTAATAAATATTTGAAAATTTAGAAAAAGGAATTATAATTAATAAAATGAACAATAGTTACTACCAATAATCATCAGGGATGCAGCAATAAAGCAACCAGCACCATACATAGTAATCATCGTAATCAGTAGCGATGTTGTAGTCCTCTTCTTACTATATGTAACCTGAGCCTAAACCCCATAACCCATATTAGGATCCTCGGTATGCCAAATACGAAAAGTATGGCGATTAGTAGGAACTTGAAGCTGAAATCGAGAGAGACGCCAAACTTCTCTTCAAGAAAAAGCAACTCGAAAAAATTGAGGGCTTCACAGGCTACTTCGAGTTCATGAGACCCGACTTCCCCTCCCCAGTCTACTACGAAGGAGAGACCTATTCGACTGCAGCTCATGCCTATAACGCCGCTAAATTGATAGATCCCAATATGAGAAGGAGAATTCAAAAAGCTCCAACTCTATAGGAGATGTATAATGTTGCCAGAACAATTGAAGAGCCTGAAGGTTGGACTCATAAAAAATTGAAGGTCATGGAGAGAATAATGCGCGATAAATTCAGACGCAGCAGAGATATGAGGGAGAGGCTGGCTGCCACTCAAAACAGAGAGATTATTAACTTTCTTCCGGATAAGTCTGAGGAGAATCTCTACTGGGGAATGGTAGGTAAACAAGGTTAGAATTAGTTGGGCAAAATTCTTGAGAGAGTAAGGTAAAGCGTTCATGATGAAAGTGAGATGGAGTAATGGATGCAAAATAACTTTAACCTGGTTGAGGGGAGAAAGAAATTACCATCAATCAATCTCGAGGTATTCAAAGATGGGTAGTTGATTGAATCAATTACACTAGAAAACAAGCCTTATTATGTATTTGGAGCACATCCTCACAAATGCGATGTAGTCTTGAAGCATCCATCTATGTCTAGAGTCCATGCTGCTTTCTTGATTGACTAAGACTTAGGTGTAGTTTTAATTGACTTAATGTCCAAGGCAAAAACAAAGTTAGATGATTAGACACTTGAGGGATGTATTCCCCATCAAGTTAAAGCCAATAGTAAGTAGAAAGTCATCTTTGGACTTTCAACAAGGGTCTATCAAATCTCTATAGATTATTCCAAAATGCAAAGAGCGGTTGAGATTGAAAAGAAAAACCTTGAAAGAGAAATGAGGTTACTTGAGAAACTGGATAATGTTGATAATATTGATATGGATACCTTAAAATCAACACTGGGTTTAATCAAGCAAGACACTATATATGTGTCAAACTTGCCATATAGTGTCACTGAGTAAGAACTAATGGAACTTTTTAATGATTGTGGCAAGATTTTAAGTATCAGAATGCCTGAGAATAAACAAACTAAATAAAACAGAGGCTTTGCTTTTATAACTATGGCAGATGAGAAAGCAGCTAGAAGAGCTCTTAACTATGATGGCCACAAATTCTATAACAGACGCCTGAAAGTCAATCAAGCTGAAAAGAAGGCTGAGATAGAGGAGCGTCGTATTAATGGTGAGGATTTCAGACAGGGTAAGGGTGAAGCTTTGAAGAATGATGACAGAGAATCAAGAGATCATAGAGATCGCCGAGATGATCACAGAGATAGAAGGCATCGTAGTAGAAGCAGAGAGGTAAGAAATCACAGAGAAAGAGATAATAAAAGAGATAATTATGATCGTGATAGGAGCAGAGAAAGACGAAATCGCAGTCCTAGAAGAAATGAAAGAGATAACAGAGATTAAAAGAGAAATGATAAAACGGAGAAGGAAAGAGAAATAAAGAAAAGGTCGGTCTCCTCAAAGTCGTCTCATTCCTCAAAGTCATCCTCCTCTTCTTCCTCTAATTCATCCAGATCTAACTCATCTGAGTCTAACAAATCTAGCGATATAGAGAATAATAATGAGCAAGTTATTTAGGAATAAATCAAAAGCTCAAGTCAAAAATAAAAGGTAGAGTGAAATAAGCATTTGGGAAATATCTGAAAGAGAACTAAAATACTTAAATTAATTAACTAATCAAACTAACAAAATATTCATAAATTTTTCAAATATTAACTTTTAAATATAGTCAAATTAGTGTTATGGGGTTTTGGGGTTTTGGGGAGATCGGAAGAGCACACGTC